ATATATTACCTTCCTAGTGGAAAAGATAAACTATGGCCTGATAGGAAGAGCTAGGCCAAGGCTCACCACCTAGCTCAGTGTCTGATAAGAGGGATGGATTTTCAGTGCAATGTGCTTCTCGGAGACATTTGTGAGTCCTTGCTCTCTGCATAAGAAGTGTGTGTATTTAATTTCATATATTTATACCAAACGTGATTCTACAAAAGGTATAAGGGGAAGCACAGGCAATAAAATAGTGACTTTTGAATTTTGTTCTCAATGTTGGCAATATAGTCATAAATAAAACCTGGGACAAGTCCTGTATTCTGAGAAAATTATTAATGACATTACATTATCCTAGGGGTGGGGAACCGTTTTTCTGCCAAGGGCCATTTGGATATTTACAACATCATTCTTGGGCCATACAAAAGTATATTTAAAAATGACCTTGCTATATTTGGTCAAACATTTAATTAACTCACCCCTAATGCCTTGGCAGGGCCAGACCAATTGATTTTGAGGGCACTACATGGCCCGTGGGCCGGATGTTCCCCACCCCTGCATAATCCGGTCTTCTGGTTTGATTAACAAGGTGAAGTGACCAGTGTGCAGAATGTAAGTGTATTTCATAGTACAGTCTGCCTCCCCGTTACTGTCTTGATCGCTTCCTTTCCTTCTGATGTGTTCCTGTATAATGTGAGAAATCAAAGTGGAAAAGGTGTATCAATTTCCTTGTGTGCACTGTTGTGCTTAGAAAATATATATGGTAGTAATACTACTAAAATAGTTGACATTTACAGTACAATTGACAGGTTTAAAATTGCCGTTATATATCATAATGTTTCATGTTTAGTATTTAAATTATACAGGTTCTTTTCATATATCTCTCTTGGGCCTTGTAATAGGTTGAGTGGGAACTTATTCTAATTTCAGTTATGATGAAACTAAACATCCAAGAGGTTTCTGGCTAATGCAAAATAGCATTGGGACTAGAACCCAGACCCATGCACTCAGGCAAGAACTTTGTACAGAATGAGATTCCTTTTTTGGCCACTAGGTGGTGATGATTTGTTGTTAAGAGAAAATTGATGTAATTTAGGTTTAACTTTGATCTGGGATGTATAGATCTTGACAAATGATATGACCAGATTATAAGAATTTTGATAATATGAGCATACTATGAGAATTCCAAAGCAGGGAGAAGTGCTTCTGGAGTTATACCTAAGTAGAATTCTAAATATCCATCATGAGGGTAATGGTTAAGGGAGTTTTGGTCTATTAATACAGATGAATATTATGTAACCATTAAATACTATGTATACTGTCACATAGAAGACATTTATTAAGTATGCGTTCAATGAATAAAAGTATAATTAGGGAGTTTTGTGCTTCTTTTGAAAGACTTTCAAATCAGTATTACATGAAAAAGGTATAAAATTATACATTTAGAGTGTTTAACTATTAACATGAATTTTTTAAAATGTCAAAATTATGTAGGAGTAGTGAGATATTTATTTCTGTCTGTATGATGGAAACACTTTACATGATGGGTGTATACTAATATATTGATTTTATAAGATTTAAAATAAAAATGAAGGGATAGTTGGAATTACCAAGATGAAGCCTGCCACCAGCATTTCCTGGATCCCTTGTCCTGACTTAATACAAGTGTCTTCTGCAGCTCTTTCTTGGAGCTAAAACTTAAGAATGACAGCATCCTACTTGCTTTTAACTCATGTATGTCTTAATTAAGCAACTTATGTTTCTTTAACAGCTATTATCAGGATTTTCAAGTGGTGGAACTGCTGTTCTAACAGTTTTGCATAGATGATGATAAATATTTTAGTTATCCTACAAATTTTGTGTGAGAAAATATACAAATATATATTCTTAAATATTTTGAGACTTTATCACAGTTCAGTCTGAAGCATAACATATAATTAAATGGAAGAATTGTTGAAATTTGGAGGGAAGGCAGATTTTATTACATTTTAAAAATCCTATTCAATTGATAGTAAACTTGAGTTGTAAGTATTTTTTTCTCTGGATTTTGTTTCGGATAGATTAACTTATTTTTCCCAGTACAGTTTTTTTATATATTGTTTCTGTTTTATTTTATTTAAGGAGTTCATAAAAACTAGGTTTATTATTTTTTAACATGTTTTATTCAGCTCGTTAATCTTAAATGTATGTTGAAATGTTAACTCTTGACATTTTAATACTTTGCCAGCAACTATAAATATACATTATAACCATTACCTACAATGAGTTTACTATTTGGTATTTACTTATTGGACAGTATATTTTATATTGCATTTTAGACATTTAGATGGAAATTGAATTCAAATAACTAGTCCTTTGTGTTAAATGTTTTTCTATTCTGAAAAAATACACAAAGTCCCTTTTCATAGCAGTGTCCGATGCTAAAGGTGACTGCATTGTCAGAGATGGCTGGTGAGAAATTGCAGATTACCTCCCGAGAGTATAAATGGGTAAGGGACATACATTACATTTTTAAATAATAAGATTTCAGTGAGTACATTTGTCTCCCTTATAAATTATGAAAATTGAACTTGAGGTTAAATGCTTGCAGGATGCATTTATGCTTGTTCGTAATTACATTTCCTACATGGAAAATGTTTTCTGTTTGTGGTTGTTGTTGGGCTACATGTCCTGATGATGTCAATTTGTCACCTTGCAGAAATATCCTGATGGGAGCTGCAATTGACTGTTCATTTATTCACCAAGTATTTATTAAGCACCTACTATGTTCTAGGCACTGTTCCGTGCCTAGGGAGGGCACATCAGTGAATAAAATATACAAAAATCTCTGCTCACATGACCCTGATAGTCTAGTGGGGGTTGTCTTCTGCCCTGGATGGTTATAGAGTCAGAGCAGAAGTGGCTGCATGTAAAAGGTCTGATAGTAAAGATCTACTTGATAAATTCCACCCAGTAATTCAGTGCTAGGAAAAGTTTCCAGTACAACTTGGTCTGCTTTCTTCTGTTAAGGAGTATTGCCTTGCTACAGGGAAGCAGTTAAATGTCCAGTCTTACCCCTAATTATGCTGCCCCTCCCTTTCTCTTTTGTTCTTCTTGGCCTCTTGGTCTCTCCCCGGCCCTTCTCATCTTCCCTTCATTTTAGAGATGTAATTGTATTGTTAACAGTGTGTTTGATAAGCAACTTTGAATTCATTTTGTCAGTAAATGGTGAAAAGGGAAGATAAGAGAAGGAAGTAGAAGGTGAGCATTTGCCAAGATCGATTTTGTGAACTTTAAAGAAAGGCTAAAAGTATATTCTAAGAGGTATGGAGTCTTATTCCCAAACTGAAAGTAAAGTTCTGTAATTGTAATAACTGTAAATTTTGAAAGTCCTTGCTGTTTGAACTTTTACAAGTGCTTATTAAGCATTTATAGAATAGGTTTTAAAATGTGATGGAAACCCTAGAGATCTTCTTGTTCAGCTAACTTTACTGGAAATGAAATAATCTTGTATACAGTAAGCTCTTCATGTTTTAATGGGACACGGCAAAGATGTTTCAATGCACAAATTCGTAGGTAATGGTGCCTGTGGCTTTTAACATTGTTTGTAATGTGATGCACAAATGCAAAGTTTACATACAATTCTAAGACATTTATGCTCCCTGCTCCCCCAGCAGGCTTATTCGTGAGCCTCTAATTAGATGTATCTGCATCTGGGAGTGGTTTTGAAAGAGCCTTTCAAGTTGTTCCCATCCACGGTGAGCTGCTGCTACTGGTGAGCCCCTCTTATTTCCTTCTGATTCTCTGCTGAAAGCCACAGGTGTAATATGTATCATACTGCGCCCTTTGTAAAAATCTGAACTTCCCAAGGCTGGTGATCTTTACTCATAGATTTGTATCCTGGGTCCAGAACACTATTACCAGCCTGCCCCAGATAAAGTAGTTCTACTTTAATAAGTATCAGCACGAAATCTGGGTTTCACAAGTCCTAGCTTTACAGCTGAAATTAGGGGTGCAGCCTTACCCAGGTCATCTGATCTCCTGTGGCTAAAGCTCCCTTCATCTCTAAAGGAGATTGCAGTAAATTCAAATTTACAGTCTCTAAGGGCTCAGCTTTATACTTCGTTAATTGAAATAAAGCAGGAAGCTGGAAATTAAGAGCTCTGAATTCTATACCGAAGTATATAGTATATTTTCATATTTCCACAAGTGTGCAGCTTACTTTTTGTATTTCTCATGAAATAACTCTGACTCAGGACAGGGAATATCATACCAAGTCTCTAACCTGAGGTTGGGTCACCCTCTCTGCTGTGTCTCCATTATGATGTCTCTGTTTCCCCCTCGAACATGAGGGTTCGTATATTTTCACACATGTGCTGCCCAAGGGAGCGCTAGGTTTGTGTATATTAATCTGGGTATCTTCAATGTGCAGCACAGTGCTTGGAACGTAAAAGACAATAAGGTTTGTCAAATGAGTACATTGTTTTTTAAACTTGTTTAACGTTTGTGTGTGTGTGTGAAATTATATATATATTTCAATTATACCATCGTCAGGCAGTTTTCAAAATAATATTGTAATCCAAAAATGTTTTAACTAGCTCACCCAGTCTTTTGAGTGTCTTTCCTAGTTCAGAGGTCACTAAGCATCTATTGGTGGTAGGCACTAGAGGTATAGCTTCTAACTTGGCAAAAGATGCATGTGATTAATTCTAGTGGCACTGTGAGGACTTACAAGTATAAAAAATGCACTATGACTCATATTTTGAATTATAAATCTTTTTACTTGAACATAATTGCTTTGTTCAATTCCAGCTCTTTTTTTTTTTTAATTAAATATCCTTCCCAGTGATGACATGGATGGGACTCATAGCTGGTCTTTATCTGTGAGAATTGAAGTAGACTAAATTAGTGCCACATCTTTAAAGGTCTGTCTTCATCTGCTTTTATAAAACCTTTGCGGAAGACTGGCACAGATGGACCTTGTTGTGAAGTATTGTTGCACGTGTTCTGTTCTGAGAGTAAACTCTTGCTTCTCCTAGGAGGCTTTTCCATGGGAGGGTGCATGGCGATGCATGTGGCGTATAGGAATCACCAAGATGTGGCGGGAGTGTTCGCTCTTTCCAGTTTCCTGAATAAAACCTCTGCTGTTTACCAGGTAAGTTCCAGCTTTAAAAATAAAAACAACAGGAAAATACATGAAATATTCACACGTTGAAACTAAAACAGTTAACATGGTGATAGGCCAAGTTAGTCATATGGTTTATTCCAGCCAGTAATTAACCAAATGTCCTGTACGAAGAATATGGTTAAGCCAGGTGTCAAAGGGGAAGGATAAAAACAATGCATCTATGGTACATGTGGGCCCTTCCTATACAGCAGTGGTTCTCAACCTTCCTAATGCCGTGACCCTTTAGTACAGTTCCTCATGTTGTGGTGACCCCCAACCATAAAATTATTTTCGTTGCTACTTCATAACTGTAATGTTGCTACTGTTATGAATCGTAATGTAAATATCTGATATGCAGGATGTATTTTCATTGTTATAAATTGAACATAATTAAAGCATAGTGATTAATCACAAAAACAATATGTAATTATATATGTGTTTTCCGATGGTCTTAGGCGACCCCTGTGAAAGGGTCGTTCGACCCCCAAAGGGGTCTCGACCCACAGGTTGAGAACCGCTGCTATACAGGGTTTCCCAAAAAATGTGTACACACTTTGAATAATTATATAGGCAGTGTTTATTAAAATACATTTCATTTTCAAAATTGAGCTTTCGGCTAGTAAAGCGAGGATACATAACAATGTCATGGTTAATCATTTGGGGACACCCTAGATGATTCTAGCTGTTTGCTTATTTCATGAACAGAATCAAAACGACCTCCTGCATTGTTGACAGCTGTTTCACAGCAGCATCCCCCTTATGACTGTGGCAGATGTGGAAATGAGAACTAGAACATATTTTTCCCCTTGATTGTCCCTCCCTCTCCAAAGAGGTCTGTCTTCCCAAGTCTCCTTGGGAAATGCGTAGACCGTGTCTGAGACAGTCCTCTGTGGAGTAAATGCAGGTCACACACAACAGAGCCCAGTGCCAGGCCCACCGGTGGGTACCTGGGACAGCACAATCTCTTTTTTCCCTTTCAATATTGAAGCTTTGGTAAAATTGGAGTTTTCCCCGCTTTCTCTGAATTCCAAGAATGCTGTCCTTTAACTTCTCCACCGGTCCATCCTCTTCTCTAGGCTCTGCAGAAGCGCGATGGGGCGCTCCCCGAGCTGTTCCAGTGCCACGGGACTGCTGACGAGCTCGTCCTTCATTCTTGGGGAGAAGAGACAAACTCGGCCTTACAGTCTCTAGGGGTGAGCACCAAGTTCCATAGCTTCCCGGGGCTTTTCCATGAGCTAAGCACAGGGGAGCTAGAGAAACTGAAGGCATGGATTCTTGCAAAGCTGCCAGGAGAAATGGAGAGGCAAAAGGAGTAAATCGAGACTCACTTGTTGCTCTGGCTGTTGTGGCTCAGTGGTTAAGCATCAACCCACGAACCAGATTGAGGTTCGACTCCGGTCAGGGCACATGCCCAGGTTGTGGGCTTCATCCCCAGGAAGGGGCATGCAGGAGGCAGCCGATCGATGATTCTCTCTCATCAATAAAAACATGTTTTAAAAAAGGATTGAGTTGTTAATACATATGTCATGCCTTTGTGAAAAGTGAATTTTACTGCCAAATTTTGTGGTTAATGATAATTAAAATATTAATAAATATCAACAGTTTACCAACTTGTTATTGTAATACCTAGCACCTTAGAGAATAGTACAATGTTATTATGGCAAACATTAATTTAGACAAATGTATATTATTTTTAGAGTCATTTTTTGTAAATACAGTGTATCCCCCCCCAAAATGTATACACACTTTAACAGCTGATTTCTATTACATTTTGAAAATGAAATGTGTTTTAATAAACACTGCCTTTATTCAAAGTGTGTATACATTTTGGGGGGACATCTTGTATTTGTAGACCTTTTAAGTAAATATTAAAAATTTTTAAAGTATTCAAAATAGTTTAAGGGCAATAAGGAAATATGAAAAGACCTAACATGGTATTATTAATCTTTCCTATTACTTTCTTTAAATTACTTTTCCAGAGAGACTCATGTCTATGTAGTTTTTGACAGAATAACCTTTATTCCAAGTTTACAAAGTGGCTGCACAGGGTCTCCATTGACCATCACAAGAGCTTGGTAAAGCAGACTGAGTAGCTGTCATTGGTATTTGGCAGTAGGGGTAGGATGAAAGACTTCCCCGAAGCCTCGAGAGCCAGGCCTAGACTGCAGGCCTCCTGACTCTCAGCGGAGCTCTCTGTTAGAAGCCGCTGCTCTAGTCCTAGAGGCCCAGGTACGCTCCATATTTTCTATTTTATCCATCTAGTCGGCGTATCACATGGCGCATTCTCCTGATGACATTTCACAGTTTGATGTGCCCACTTGTAATCTGCATAAATTCTTTGATTATATATCTAATCAAATCCTTTGCCCATTTTTTTTAGGCTGCTTGTCTGGATGCTCTGTAAGAGATTTTCCATTCATGCCAGGCACCAACTATTTTGGGGGGAAACGAATCCTTGGTTAGATGTTTTACAAAATTTAGTCTATGGCTTGCTTTTTTTTTTCTTGCCAGTGTAATTCAAAGAACAAAAGCTTATTAATATTTTAATTTATATTATGTGCTTTTAATGTCATGGTTAAGAAAGCCAAGGTCACTAAGATTTGTCTCCTATATTTTCTACTGGAAGTTTTATAGCTTTAGATCTTAGATGTAGTCTGTGGTCAATTTCAGGTAAACTTCTATATATGGTAAGAGTTAAGTATCAAGGGTCATTTTTTGCATATCCAATTATTCCAGCACCACTTGTTGGAAAGACTGTCATTTCTCCACCGACTGGCCTTTTGCAGCGGTGTTGAAAGTTCAGTTGTTGAAGCATATGTAGGTTCCTTTCTGGACTCTTGTGTTCCATGGATTTACTGTCTGACTTGATTTCTGTAGCATTGTAATAAGTCTGGAGAACAGATTGCAATGTTGTTCCTCTTTTATCAAGTCTTTGATATTTACCCACTTATTTACTTACCTTTTTCCTTGCTCTTCATTCCGTAATGTAGTTTCAGATTTCCACATGGTCCCTTTCTCCTCCTGCCTGAAATAGTAGATACCATTTGTGGTAGTGCAGGTCTCTGCTGCTGTTGAGTTTATTCAACTTCTGCATGTCTGAAAAAATAGTATTTTTCTTTTTAAAAGCTATATAGAATTCTAGGTTGATGAGGGTTTTTTCTTCCATTCCTTTAAAGACCTTACACTGTTGTCTTCTTCGATGGTCCCAAAGCAGTTTTGCTCAGGACTAACTGTGTCCCACTATCAGGCACCACGTCTCTGAGGACTCGAGCTGCTGCTCGCTGCAGCGTGAGGTTTCGTTCTGGCTGGTGGGAACTTCCACTTTCCCAAGCCCTCCGTGAGCCCACTGACTGTTCCTTTCGGTGGCTCCTGCTTCCCTCACACACACCTGATGGTCCGTACTTCGCTGAAGTGTTGAGGGGACCCTCTGCCGCTCTGTAACATCCTGTTCTGTAAGCTCTGGGCTCTCCCTCCCCACGCTAGCTGGGCCTTGCAGCGCTCACCTCATTTGTTTCTCCTTCGTAAGGGATGGCTGTCCTGTGCTGCCAGAGTCCAACATCTGGAAACATGCATGTGGTCCAGCTTGTTAGTTGTTTCAGGTCGAGTAAGTCTGGTCCCTGTTTCTCCATCTTGGTCCCAAGCAGCAGCCTCTTCAGTTCTTTTATTTGAAGTTATAAACTTTACATTTAAAGAGGAAGGGACAGAGAGAGGGGAGAGGAGAGAGACAGAATTTAATAAAAATCCAAGAAAGATTCATTCTGTGCAGAGTTTTAATTATCGTAAGCTTTTAATAACCTTCAACTTCTTCACGTTTTAAATGCATTGGATTGAGTATACGTGGGTCACGAATGTTTAAAACCCTTAGGGCTACAGTTTGTTCTAAGAGTAACATATATGCATGTCATAGATAAGGGTGTCAGGCCTGTAAGTGTTGAGTGTATACAAACCAAATATAGTATAAGGGAAAGGCATCCAGATTTTTTTTTAATGAATACTTGTCCTGCCACTTAATAATCACATATTCCAGAGTAAATCTCAGTCTCTGCTACAGTGTACTCCTTGGTTAAATTTTTGTGTGAGGATCAAGGTATATAGCATGTGTAAGTGCTTCTAATAAAATGTAAAGTTAAACAAATTTAAGGTATTACTCATTTTGCCAGAGAGGGAGGGGCGTGTGCATGTAATAGTTACAAATCTTTCTCCACAAACTAATCTGTGTGTAGAATATATATCTAAATATTTTACATAGATAATCTTCAATTCTGGTCCCCTAGCCACTGGGCTCAGAGTGTAGTAGTATCCGTTCTCAGTTATCCTGAGCTCTTTTACCTCTTTCCAAATCATGCAACACCTGGGCCCCTTGCACATACAGTTGCCTCCCTAATTTCCCCTCAAGAAGAGGAAATAAGGTGGAAAGCCATTGATTCCCCAGTTGACCATATAGTTTGGCCAACATGCTCACTACCACTTCCCATGGTCTCCCCTCAGATTCTGTTGATCACCCTGCAAAGCCTCTATTCTTTCCTGTCTAGTCCTTGAGTACATTACAACGTGAGTGTGCAATTTCTTTGGAGATATTGAGTGGACTTGTATAAAAATGTAAAACATTATTTCAAGATATATTTTCTTCATACTACCCCTAAATTATCATGTACATTGCATTTGTGATTTTATTTAGGTCTTTTGTTTTGAATGGGTTGTGAAACCCATATGTGATTTTTATATTAGGAATTGAATTAATGGTTCTATGATGAATAGTGGACATCCTGTTTTGAAGAAATCATATTTTGGGCAAAATGTCCATTAGTGACTTATGTTTTTGCCAATAGTTTAATTCAGAGCCTCTGGGATCTTTCTTTTTTTTGTTTTGTTTTGTTAGGAAGGGATGAGAAAGTTTGATTCTTTTGCATTCTATTTTAAATTCCTGTAGCAGTGATTTCAAAATAGCTTGTTACTTCGTTTTTTGTTAGTGCAGCTAATTCATCATTGTTTCTTTGTTTTGGTGCTTCACTCCCTACTTGTAAGAGCATAGTACTACTTTTAAAATCACTGTTTTCATTTTGCTTCCCTCTTCCCATACCAATTTTTCTAGTCAGTTGTTGGCTTGTCCAATTGAAGCTAGAGACACACTTGACATATTAGTTCATTGGCGTATTAATTTTGGCAAGTCTTGGTATGCTCTCTTTTGCCAATAAAATTATTGAAATTGAAAAATTGGGTGGGGATGTCCACGAAAGACAGAAGTCTTTCCCTTGGGCATTAACTATTAAGCCAGTTTCTCTATGACATAAGAGAGAAGTGTTAAACCAACGTTCACGGCATGCAACTCGTGGAAGCAAATAAATGGTTCTCTTTAAAAATTTCACTTCAACAGCAATAATCTCAAGTCAAGTCTAAAAACAGGACTTTTCAATAGCAAATGAAAAACATAGCAATTTCCAATAGTAACAAATGCATTTTGTTTTTTTCTGTTTGTTTTTTAGGTTTCTTAATTATCCTGTGAAATGTCAGGCAAGAGTCAGGACAGCTGGTTAGCATTGTCTTAGTTCTGCCATAGAATCACAATATTTCCATTGCTGGAGGGAATTCAGAGATTGCCATTTCACACATGGACACTGAGGCCTGGAGAAGGGAAGCGGTGAACACTTAGCTCCTGGGAAACATAATCTCCCTTCTCACACTGCTCACTGGGCCACCCTGCCATTGTGGTAGCATTCAGAAAGTGTGGCTAAACATTCACTGAATTGCAAGCATTTTAGATTCACGGCTATTTCCTTTCATTTGTAGACATCTTACATTCCTGCTTCTTTTGTTCTCTTTTCTAAAGCAGCGGTCACCAACGGGTGGCCCGAGGACCACTGGTGGTCTCTGAGGTCCGAAAGGTTGGCAACTGCTGGTTTAGGAAACCTTTAGAGCAGCGGTCGCCAACCGGTGGTCCGTAAGGTCCAAAAGGTTGGCCACCGCGTTCTAAAGGGAATGTAGCAGTCTCTCCCTCTGCCTCAGTGTAACAGCAGGCCTAATTTATTTTCAAGAGAAAGGGAGGAAAGGGGAGAGAGTGAGCAAGGGAGAGACAGAGAGTGAGAGACATCTATGAGTTCTTTGTATTTATGCGTTCATTGGTTGATTCTTGTATGTGCTCTGACTGGGGAATCAAACCTGCAACCTTGAAGTATTAGGATGATGCTCTAATTAGGCTTGGCCAGAGCAGCAAGCCTAATATTTAAGTCAGAGTTTTAAGAGATTACAAATCATTTCTTTCAATTTCTGAACCCCATGGCCTATTACAGTCCTACTTGCCATCTTTATAGGACTTGGCACTTTGCTTATTAACCCCTGATTCTAGACACTGATGCCTTCTGGTCTAGTTTTTCTAGGCTCTCTGGACCATGACTGCTCTGTCAGTGACTACTTAGTCCCTTCATGTGGAGGCTCCTCCTTTTGGCTGTTTTTTCTCTTCTCTCTCTAGGTCAGTGGTTCTCAACCTTGGCTGCATATTAGAATCACCTGGGAATCTTTTTAAAATCCTGATTTCTGGGGCTCATCCTCCAGAAATTCTGTTTGTTACTAATGATGAGGCCCAAGGTTGAGAACCACTGCTCTAGGTGGTCTTCCACCTCTGTGGTTTAGATTACTGGCCTCAAAACTAGCTTATTAACCCCTGATTCTAGACACTGATGCCTTCTGCTCTAGTTTTTCTAGGCTCTCTGGACCATGCCTGCTCTGCCAGTGGCTCCTTAGTCCCTTCGTGGAGGCTCCTCCTTTTAGCTCTGTTTTTTCTATTCTCTCTTTAGGTCAGTGGTTCTCAACCTTGTCTGCACATTAGAATCACCTGGGAATCTTTTTTTAAATCCTTCAAGACTGCACCTCTGGCCCATGCTCACACTTTAGCTCCCCACCTGTGTTTCAGACTCCCTGCTGAGTCTCCCCACCTGGTTGTCAGACAACCACTGTACATGTACTATATTCAAAACAATGCGAAATCTTCACTCTTACCAAATGTGTGATTTAGGTTAAAGCCACATATAATCTCTCCAACTCTGTTCCCTCACCCGTAAAATGGGCTTGTTGTGAAATTGAATGTGAAGAGCCCAGCACAGCTGAGAATTACTACCCCTACCCCTATTTCCTGACCCTGCTTCACCTGCTGTGTGATCTGTTTTAAATGACTTTCCATCCACATAACAATGTCTTTGTATCCTGCTCTACCCTTCCCCGTCTTATTTTTCTATCAGGTCAGTCAACAAATCCTTTTGCCCTCTAATCCATCCTCGTCGACTTTGCCTTAGTTGTGGTCTCATTGTGCCTTTGGGTGGGTCTCCCCACCTCTGGTCTCTCGGTCTGCTCCTTCTCCAACATGCCACCAGTGTCACTGACCTTCCCCACTTCCTAACAACCCCCTGCCGGCTCCGCACTGTCTTCAGAATGAAATTAGAATTCTTCAGCTAAAGAGAAATCCCTTCAAATCTAGCCCTGCCTTGTATTTCAGCTCCATCTCCTGCCCCTTCTCTTCCATCCCACAGTGCACGAGAAGACACACACACACACACTCACTCACTCCCCCAATGCTTCCCCCATACCGAAATTCCCTAGCCATGCCCATCTTTTTCACAACTTCCCTTTTATCATATTATTCCCTCCACTTAACATGCCCCCTCTCTCTCTCTCCTCTGACTGACAATATCTTAGCATTCAGGACACAGGTTTTGAGTAGCCCAGTGCCTAACCCACTTGTCTGTGGCATAAGTTCCTGTTCTCCATGTTTCTGTCATTATCCAAATTTTGAACTCAGTGCCTAGGACAGTGATTGGCGCACAATAAAAATGCAACAAATGGATCATAACATACTTATGTCCTGCTGGCTTCTTTAACAAATTTAAAAGAAAATCCAATGACATCTATTTTATAAGAATCCAGGGATATGGTCCTTTCTTTCACCTTAGTTTCCCCTCAGTTTAGATTTAATGTTTATGAAGACAACACTTTGCAGTTAAAATGTTGGCAAATAACAGCAAAAGAAACCATCAACAAAACAAAAAGGCAACGAACCAAATGGTAAAAGATATTTGCAAACAATACCCTCAATAAGGGGTTAATATCCAAAATATATAAAGAACTCATACAACTCAACAACAAAACAATCCTAGTAAAAATGGGCAGAGGACCTTAACAAACACTTTACCAAGACATGCAAATGGCCAACAGATGTATAAAAAGATGCTCACCTTCACTAGCTATTAGGGAAATGCAAATCACAAAAACCACAATGCGACACCACCTCACATCTGTTAGGATGACATTATCAACAAGACAGGTAAGTGCTGGAGAGGTTGTAGAGAAAAAGGAACCTTCATTCACTGCTGGTGGGAATGTAAAATTAAGAATAGAGTTACCATATGATCTAGCAATCCCCCTTCTGGATATTTACCCAAAAAACTTGAATACATTTGTCTGTGAACATATATGTACTCCTATGTTCATTGCAGCATTATACACAAAAGCCAAAACAGAAACAATCCACATGTCCTTCAGCGGATGACTGGATAGAGATGTTCATATCCAGTGGTTCTCAACCTTCCTAATGCTGCGACCCTTTAATACAGTTCCTCATGTTGTGGTGACCCCCCCAACTATAAAATTATTTTCGTTGCTACTTCATAACTGTAATTTTGCTATTGTAATGAATCGTTATGTAAATATCTGATATGCAGGATGTATTTTCACGGGTCGCGACCCACAGGTTGAGAACCGCTGATTAATGGAATACTACTTGGCCATAACAAAAGATGAAATACTGCCATTTGCAACAACATGGATGAATATTGAGAGTATCACGCTAAGGAAAATAAGTCAAATGGAAAAGGACAGAACCTTCTGATTTCACTCATAATATGGAATATAAACCAGAAAGCAACAAACTCATAGACACAGAAAACAAGGGTGTTACCAGAAGGGAAGGTGGGGGAGGATGAAGATGGTAAAAGAAGTCAAATATATGGTGATGGAAGGAGACTAGACTTTGGGTGATGCACACACAATGCCATGTGTAGATGATACATTATAGAATTGTACACTAAACTTACATACAGTTATTAACTATTGTTACCCAATAAATTTAAAGAACTTTTATAAAACCATGGTGACCTTCCAGGCAAGATGACAGAGTAGGTAAACACAATACTCGCCTCTGCCCACAACCACATCAGAATTACAGCTCAACTACAGAACAACCATCATTGAAAACCAACTGAAATCTAGCTGAACAGGTAAGTCCTATAACCAAGGATATACAGAAGCCATGACAAGGCTGGTAGCAGGAGCAGAGACACGGAATAGGCAGGTCCCAGGCCCACATGTGGCATTTAAAAATTGGGAGGGATATCTCAGTAGTGGAGATCACTCCTGAGGAGCCACTTGCAACAACATGGGTGTTCCCTCCCCCGCAGCCCAGGGGTCCAGGGTCAAGGGCCAGGAAGAGAAGTCCCCATACCTTCTGACTGAAAATTAATGGGGATAGTGACTGAGTGAGACCAGGGGCTGCTGGAGCCCCAGGGTTCCTCTTAAAGGGCCCCCACAGACTTACCAATTCTCACAGCAGCTCCAAAGGTGCTGAGAACATACAGAGAGGAACTGAATTATACAGTGAGGGCTGGGGGGGGCGGGACAGCCTTCTCCCAGACAGAAGTGCTGGCAGAAGCCATTGTCCCTTTGCTGAGCCCTCCCGCTGCAGGCACAGGTGTGAGCCACATCCCAGTCTCCATCCACCTGGCTAATGCTGTTGGCCTCGCCCTGGTGATTCCCTGAGAACACCCCACCAACTTGTGGGCCCATCCAGGCTGTATCCAATGGCTTTTCCTTACAAATGGCCTGTCTTGGCTCATGCTGTGGGCTTTCCTAAAATCTCTCAAAAGTCCACAAACTCTAAAAAAGCAGCACCTGGCCTTGGTGTGCCCTGCACCTCTTGCTAAGCAGCCCCAAACCCAGCACTGGTGACAGCCAGGCTCAGTTAGAAGCTTAGCCTCTCCCAGGCACCTTCAAGCCCAGCCCAGGTGCTCACCACCTGCAGATCACTTTGTAGCTCATACCAGGTGGCCCAGGTGGCAGTTGACCTAGGCCTGACCTCTCAAGAGGCCTCAGAACCAAAAACCCAGTGGCCGCTTCAGGCCAGGGCACCACCCAGCCACCTCTCCAAGTGACACACTCAAAGGGCAGGGTCAGCAGGCAGCAGGGCCCCGCAGAAGCAAATCCTATGCTCCATAGGGTCAGGCCCTACACAGCAGCTCCTCCACTGTGGTCATGGCCAGTCCTCTCAGCCAATCAGCCTGCGGGTCAATCCCTCACAACCAATCAGCATGAGGGTCAATTCCTCTCAACCAGTCAGCATGAGGTCAGTCCCTCCCAGTGAAGTGCCAACAGCAATGAGGCTCAATTACAACAGGAGGGCACACCTCCACACACAAGGGACACTCCTTGAGAACCCAGCTCAGATGACCATGAGACTGTGCCACTGGCCCCCACAGGACACCTACTACATAAGGCCACTTTACCAAGACTGGGAGACGTAGGAAGAAAATAGAATCCAAAAGACATGAGGATAGTTTAAGGGGCTTCTGGGACAACATTAAGCTTACCAACTTTCACAGCATAGGGAGGTCAGAAGAGAGAATACTACATAAGGCCACTTTACCAAGACTGGGAGACGTAGAAAAAAATAGAATCCAAAAGACATGAGGATAATTTAAGGGGCTTCTGGGACAACATCAAGCTTACCAACTTTCGCAGCATAGGGAGGTCAGAAGAGAGAGCAAGGGGTTGAAAACCTATATGAAGACTATGGCAGTATCTAATGCCTCATCAAAATTTTACTGATTTACTCATATCAGAATCAACTTCCTATCCAATGGGTTGCAACATGTCATTGTCATTTTTTTCTGTTTTGGATACTGAGGTTGTCCCTCAGAATTGGCCAGTTGGAGTCTGAGTTGGCTCCAGTCTCCTCCTCACATGTTCCTTTTATTCTCTGAACATTGCGTTATTTTATAGCTTGGAGAGATGTATCAGGCTCATCTTGTACTTCTCTTGCCCTAGCCACTGAATCAATCATTTCTCCAAGGCCTGCTGGTTCTAATTTCATGGAACATGAAATTTAGAAATCAAGATCTAGACAGTAAGTACACTCATTCTATCAGGGTGTTGCTGTTACCAGGCCCTCAGTGGAAAGAACTGGGGAAAAATGTATCTACATACATACACACATTTAAAACTGTATTTGTGTGCATGTATGTGTATATTTTCTATATATACTATATACAATATAAATACATATATTCATATATGTAATGAGTTCATGCATGTACCTCCAATTTCAATAATAGTGATCATTCTACTTCTGAGTTGTTTTAGAGCCAGCTATTGCTGGCTCCCAACTGTAAAATTTTCAGAAATTTTGCAAGCTGGTACCTTGAAATTGGCCATGGTGGGAGTCTTTACATCATGGAAAGCATCAAACACTCCCCTCTATATGTCTAGCTCACATATTTGCAACTGAAACTAATCTTGCTTCTGAACACCAGACCCACTCTTCCTTGCTGGGTATCTACCTTGAGTCCATCTGTGAAATGGTTCTTATATATCCCCTTTTTAAATCCCTACTACCGTTGGCATAGCCTTATTTTAGCCTTTTTCCTTTTTCTTTGTCTGGTCAACTGAATTCATAAATTTCTCACCTTGCATGAAAGATATTGTATGATAATAAAATACCTTCTGACTCTTCTGAAACATTAAAAATTAAAATGATCAGAACAGAGTGATTATGGCTGTAGAAATTCTGATCGACTATGACCTAAACAGTGAAAACAGTTACTAATCTCACATAGTGCAGAAGTGTTCTTAGGTTTGGTGTAGCTGCCCAACGCTGTCTTTCAAGACCCAGCCTTTTCTATCTGTTCATTCTGCCATTCCCTGCATATTGGCCTTTTTCTTGACAGTTGTCATCAAATGGCTACCAGAGGGCCATTTGCATTCTCACCCCCCAGAATTCGGTGCAAGAAGCAAGAGAAGGTGTGACATGAGAAAGGTCTCCTCGCTTCTCCTTTTTCAAGTAACATACTCTTTCCCAGAAATCTCCCAGCTGTCTTCCCCTTTCATCCTAGTTTTCAGAACTGTTACCCGGCACCATCTTCTCGAGGATGAGGTCATACTTAGCCAAAGTTCTCTGCCTGTGTTAACATTATGTTTATATGTATTTTAGATATATTTTTATTGATTTCAGGGAGGAGAGGAGAGGGAGAGAGATAGAAGCATCAATGATGAGAGAGAATCATTGATCGGCTGCCTCCTGCACGCCCCCTACTGGGGATTGAGCCCTCAACCCAGGCATGTGCCCTGACCGGGAATTGAACCATGACCTCTGGGTTCATAGTCAACCAGGCTATGAAGGATAAGGAGTAAATAAAAACAATTCTATTATTCAGCCACTGAGCCACACCGGTCAGGCTCTATGTATTTTAGTTTGAAACTTAGGCCAACTCTTCTGTCTTTCTGCTGGGGCAGTGATATATGGAGAAAACCACATTGGTTCTTTCTAAACTATTCAAATCCCTGTGGTGGGGCCCGATTCCACCAAGATTACAGAATATGTATTTATTAATTCACTGAGTTCTCACAGATGGGAACCCCTGCCCTGAGGGAGCTTACACTCTAATGTGGCACGTCCGTGCCCCCTTAGAGGAGATCTCAATCTGATCAGACAGGATCAGATCTTTTCAGAAAGACCTCCACTTACTTCCTGGCGCTCTGTCTTCCTCTTTCAAAAACAGGAGTTGGGTGTTGATTTCTGGTGTGTTTGGACTCTGACCTAAATTATATTTTTCCTGGCTAATATTTCTTAGTTTGTGATGAACTTGGGTTCCTTCCGACTTTTAAGTACTAACATTTGCAATGCTTTTTTTTTTTTTGCATCTTTTTGTTCATTTGGCTCGGTTGTGGTGTTTGAGAATTTTCTCATCTTGCACATTCAACAGCCCCCTCTTCCTTAAATTTACTGTGTCCCATCTGAGAAGGAAAACAGACTTTAAATGGAAACTTTTGCTGTACAAATGGTTTTGGAAAAGTGCCACAGGAATGTTTTTAGATTGTATAGGACTTGGCTATGAAAATAATTGGTTGAAGGATGACATTAAAAAATAATCCTTGGATTTTGACACCTTATAGAAGCAAAGGGGGAATGTTATTGTATCACTCTTTCTCCACAATATGGTTTTCTTAAAGGAGAATAGTATATGTTTAAATAATAACACATTCCTTAATGTCTATTTTTAAAGGACGTTTTATCAGTTTGGATGCTTTGGAACAACATGAAATAGAAAACATAGACTCTGTCTTAGGTCCTGTAAGCTGCTGTAACAAAATACTACAGATTGGGTGGATAATAAACAACGGAAATTTATTTCTCACATTCCTGGAGTCTGGAAGCTTAAGATCAAGGTGCCAGCATGGTCGGGTTCTGGCAGAAATCCTTGTCTAGGTTGCAGACTGACAACTTGTGACTGTGTCCTCTCATGGTGACAGGGGAGAGGGATTGCTCAAAGGCCTCTTCTATGAAGACACTAATCCCATTCACCAGGGCTCCTCCCTCATTGACCTAATCACCTATTCATGACCTAATCACTTATTCATGACCTAATCACCTATTCATGACCTAATCACCTATTCATGACCTAATTACCAAAGGCCCTCATCTCCTCCTCTCATCCCATTGGACATTAGGATTGTCACATATGAATTTGAGGAGGGCGGCAGTCCAAGCCTATAGCAGTCCATTTTTCCTTTTGGTTAATATTTTAATCTGTGTTTCTCCTAATTTTTCCAAGTTTGCTCTTCTGAACTGTCATGAACCATTGTGTATGGAGGCCATTTTGAAAACAAGAACAAAAGACCTGAGTTAGTTCCACTGTTCAACCACTTAATAACTGCCAGGTCAGTTCTTGCTGCTATTTGATTGGTTTAACAATGTCAATCCATTAGTCAAAAGAAAATTAGTTTAGCTAAGATTGTATTGTCCTGACCATCTATTTCAATAGCATGGAAAAGCAAAATACAGGTAAAATACAAAGTTAATCTCAAGTCATTAAAAATCTTAGGTGTAATTGTAATCAAAATTTAGCGGACAACTTTCAATCCCCAGATGAACACCTCCATCTATGTCTCGTTTAACCTAATTCTATTACCTCAGTTGGTTCTTAATACTTGAAAAATTATCTAAGTGCTCAGCTAGGATCTATATTTGGTTTAAATCCCCAGGGATTGGTACAGAGAAGCCTTTTAGGGTGCTGGTGGGAGGTTGTTTTAATAAGGGCACTTCTAGATGAAGAGCTGAATTCTGTAGGAGAACCACACCAGGGCAAATCCCAATTCAGTCATTATGCTGAATTCGCAGAATCCCACTCAGCCACCCACCCAAGTGGACATGGTTCAGATGCAGAAGTCATTTTTAGGGGCCCTTTCAAAAAATCACTTGTCAAAATTTGGTTATAGTAATCCTTGAAAATAGCTAATGAAACCGCCAACTATGACAATGAACTTGTATAGAGCATCTCTAAAGAAATAGGATTCTACTTTTAAATTAGTCTCTCTCTTGCCAGAATATTGAAATGCTTGGAATTTTAAGTAAGTCATCCTTAAGATCCCCTAACAATTTTGTACAGATGGAGGGCCACGTGGGTGAATATCTTGCATGCCTGGGGATGAGATCCAGATGACGAGAATGTATGCAGGGTCGTTTGAAACATGTTACAGGAGAACATTGCAAACATCAAACACTGCAATTATAAGCAGTGGCGAAAACTGTCCTAAGCTCTAAAACAATGCATGAATATGAAGACATCAAAACCTATGGTATCTATCTCCATTTAGTCTTCCTCTGCCCTAAAAATATTTGTATTTTCTCTCCGAAAGAGATTAGCTTGAAATAAAAATATATGGATACATGCATACAAGCATGCATATTAATAAACACACATAGTATGGAATGTGTTACATGTATGACATACATTGCATATATGTGTGCATATAGATGTGTAATTTTTAAAGGACAAATGTCACTAGTAAATGATAGAAAATGTTCATTATTATACCTTTACTTTCTATTTTTTTTAAATACCACCCAAACTAGAAAACATGAAAATAAAAAAGATCTTCATTTTTTGCCTGGCCTGTGTTGTTCAGTGGTTGAGCGTTGATCTAAGACCCAAGAGGTCATGGTTTGATTCCTGGTTAGGACACATGTCCAAGTTGCAGGCTCAATCCCCAGTAGGGGGCGTGCAGGAGGCAGCTGATCAATGATTCTCTCTCATCATTGATGTTTCTATCTCTCTCTCTCCCTCTTCCTTCCTGTCTGAAATCAATAAAAATATAGTTACAAAAAAAAAAACCCATAGGATCTTCATTTTTTAACTAGATGGGAAAACACTGCAAAAGTACAATCAATCTCTACTGGCAGCTACATATATGTTCTCATAAGGGTAAAAGCTATGCCAAACAACTACCAGTGTGCATATGTAATTATTTCTATGTGGCAGGTACTAGCTGTCTTATTTTCACTAAATACTAAGTGCTTTGAGAGAGATCTTTCTCCCTTTGTTCCCCATGACACACAGATAGAGAATACTTAGTACAGAATTTTCACTATAGAATCTGTCCATATATGTGTATTTCAAATTACATATTTCTACTATAGGTATTTTTCTTCCATAAAAATGGCCATCTGGTTTCAGGAAACAAAGATTACTCTTGAAATTCTAAATTTTAACGTCTTAGCTGTCATAAGGTGTTTGTTTCAGAAACAAATACTTTTCCTTGTAAATAAACAGGTATCACCTCTGTCACCCAAAGCCTGTGGGTTCTAGGCAGATATTTATTACACAGATTTGGATAAAGTGGTGTTCTTCCTCTAGATGACTCAGCTCTTCTGTAAATCAACAGAATGCCCAATCCCAGACAGCCCCACCACAGTTTATTTAAACACGCGTGCATGCGCGCGCGCGCGCATACACACACACACACACACACACACACACATTTTTTAAAAGCAGTGTAACATCAAGTTGGACTCTTACATTACGTCATATACAAAAACTAACTCAAATGGATCCAATACCTAAACATAAGAGCTAAGCTATAAAATTCTTAAGAGGAAAACATAGGAGAAAGCTTACTAACTTTTGTTTGGCAATGATTTATTGGATATGACACCAAAAAACATAGGCAACAAAAGTAAATATAAATTGGACTATGTCAAAAGCAAAAACTTCTGTACATCAAAGGACACAAACCACATAGTGAAAGGCAGCCTACACAATGGGAGAAAATATTTGCAAATCATATATCTGATGGGTGGGTTAACATCCAGACTGTATAAAGAGCTACAACCCAACAACAACAACAAAAAGATTCAAAAGTGGACAAAGGACTTGAGGAGACATTTCTCCTTCAAAGAAGATGTGTAAATGGCCAGTAAGCATGTGAATAGATGCTCAGCGTCACTAGTCATTAGGGAAATGCAAACCAAAACCACAGTGAGCAACAGGACCTCACAACCATTAGGATGGCTACTATCAAAAAAAGAAAGCCGCCCTAACCGGTTTGGCTCAGTGGATAGAGCGTTGGCCTGCGGACTTAAAGGTCCCAGGTTCATCCGGTCAAGGGCATGTACCTTGGTTGCAGGCACATCCCCAGTGGGGGGTGTGCAGGAGGCAGCTGATCGATGTTTCTCTCTCATCGATGTTTCTAACTCTCTATCCCTCTCCCTTCCTCTCTGTAAAAAATCAATAAAATATATATTAAAAAAAAAGAAAGCAAGTGTTGGTGAGGATGTGGAGAAATTGGAACCTTTGTGCACTGTTGGTGTACATGTACAATGGTGCAGCTGCTCTGGAACAGTACACTTCCTGAGAAAATTAGAAATGAAGTTACTTTATGACCAAGCCATTCCCCTTCTGGGTGTTTATCCAAAAAAGAAAAAAATGAAAGCAGGGTCTCAAAGAGATATTTGTACACCCATGTACGTAGCAGCATTATTCACAATAGCCAAAAGGTGAAGCA